GATGAGGCCCCCGCCCCCGCCGATGGTTGCTGTGGCTTGGAGAGAGGCCAGAGGGAGAGGGAGTGGAGGCGACGGAAGCCGCCGAGGGCGAGGACGACGGATCTGAGCTGTTGATTGCCGCAGCCGATGTTGGCCCAGTGGCGCGTGCAGATCAGCTCCCAGAGACGCTCGTCCTGAGCCGTGCGGTTCCAGAGCTTGCTGACGCAGGACGCCATGGCCAAGGACCTCGCGTCCACGTGCTTCAAAACCTCGAACAGCAGATTCTCGTCCAGATTCGTGAACCCTACCCCTCCGTCTCCCTCCGCCTCTTCCACCGCCTTCATCTTCTTCTTATTCTCCGACCCATCACCCTCCGCCGGAAAATCATCAGCTCCACGCTTCATGAGGAATCGATGAAACTCAGAGAGAGATTGAAAATCGGAGGAAAAAGTTGGGATAGATGAAGACGAAGATGAAGATGAAGATGAAGAGAGAGAGAGAGCGAGTATTATCGAAAACGACAAAAGGAGAGAAAATGAAAGCGGTTTGTTTGGTTTTACCCATAACGCCAAATGACGATGTTACCCTCTTTGTTTTTTTAATTACCAATTTTGTGTTTTTTAAAAGGTGGGAACGATCACACTTCCAAGTGAGTTACAAATGCTAAATATGTAAAATTCGAATTTAAAGTGAAATATCGATTAAAAAAGGTATTATTATTATGACTATTTTTTTAATTATGGTTTTTGTTTTGCATTTTAATTTATTATCACTAAGCATTTTGAATCGGTTAATTATTTTTAATGGCTCGAATGATAAAAAAAACATTTAAATGTTGGATTAGTGATTGGCATTGTGAAACCATTGTTTTTTTTTTCATTTTCAAATTATAATTATATTTTCACTAAAACATGATGCTTCTATTTGGAGTTGTCACAAAATAGACCAAATGAAACAAATGTACCTAAAATGTGAAAAATATAAAAAAATGAATTAAAGTTTATGATACGAGAATAATAAATTGATTAAAAGCATGTTATTTTTTTTCAAAGGGTATATTTTCTTTTAAAGTTTTTATGAAGTTTTGTGATTTAGTGTTTATCATTAGTGATTAGTGATGACTTTTTCATATTTAATTAGTGGTTTGTCTTTATTTTGTTAAGCCCGAAGCCTTTTGTCTTTATTTAATTAGTGATTATGTTTTGTAAATGATAATTATTGGTCACTATGGGCACCCAAAATAGTGGGTGAATATGGGTATTTGTTTCTGGAAAACATTATTATATAATTTTTGGATTTGATATCGGTTTTGTTTTGGTAATCGGATATTTTGGACCAAGATTCAAACTAATCAAACAGTCGGGAGTCATCCATATGATTTGGATTATACATTCTCTCTCCAAACTCGAAGTTCGAATACAAGTTTTGATCGATGAATACATCTTGTTATGGGGATATTCGAAATATAAGGTGAAAGAGGAGATATCAAGAGGAGGGAGATGAGGTGAAAATGGCGACGAGAGGGTTAAAGTCGAAAACGGTTAAGGTTTTGTCATCCGAGTTACACTTACTGCATATTTCTCGATATATCAATTATATTATGTCCTTAATATTATGTAACTATTAATAATGACACATAAAATACACCCAACACCTAACAAAAATAAAATACACCCAACACAAGTTTTCTTATTTCAGTTTTATCTTATCATGGGTATTAGATAATCATTGAACTTGAATATTGAGATAATTTCGGACTTCATCTACTTATTTATGTAACAAATGTTTTTAATCTATAAACATAATTAGATATCTAAAATCATACAATTTTTACATATCGATGCGATTTAAATACAAGAGAGAGGTGTCTGTTAAAAAAAATGATGTTATGACACATAAATATAACAAACGACATATAAAAAATACTACTACATATAACATATTATAAGAGGGGGGGGGTTAGTAGTGGAAATGTGGTTTCCAAATTTGGTATGATTAAATTAATTGACTAAGATAAATTAGGGTTTAGGGAGCATTATTCCACACAAAAAGTCTATTATTACACCAATCAACTTTAATATAATCCTAAAGAAGCATTAAGACTTGTAGTATTATGCTATAAATGCCCTTAAAACCTTTTTTTCCCTGCTTAAACTAAAATAAAAATTGATAATTCTGTGTAAAATTATCAGAAGATATAGTTTGTTTAAAAGTATAATATATGCACATTGCGCACTACAAAAAAAAAGTGGTCATTTCCAACCGGATTTGCCCGTTGGAAATGACCAAATTTCTGTTGAAAATTAATGCTTCCAACGAATTTCAAACGGATAAATCCGTTGTAATTACGTCATTGAAAATCGGCATCCGTTGGACAACCGTTGGAATTTTTAACGGAATTTCAACGGATTTTTCCTTTCCAACGGATTGCGGTTGAAAATCCGTTGGAATTTTTTTCCAACCGAAATCCGTTAGAAATTTTTAATCGATTTTTTCTACCGACATCCATTGGAAATTTCCAACCAATTTCTATTGGAATTCCGTTGGATTTTTTTTTTAATAAAAATTTTCAACCGATATCCGTTTGAATTCCGTTGAAAATTTTTTCCAGCTAAAATTCTTTGGAATTCCGTTAGGAAATTTCCAATCGATTTTTTCAAACGACATCCGTTGAAAATTTCTAACGGATGTCGGTTGGAAATACCGTTGAATATGTTCAACCAAAATTTTCAATTGCATATATTGAAAATTCCGTTAAAAATTTCCAACAGAAATTTTATGTGGTAATCCGTTGAAATTTTTTATAGAATTTTAATAAAAATCGTTATTGAAACGCCGTTGAAAATCCGTTGAAAATTTTTCAATGGATAAATTTGTTGGAAAATTGGTTGAAAAATTCGTTAGAAATGGATGATTTTTTTTTTGTAGTGACGCTAGTTCCAAGTCAGACAAGATGTAGCTATTGGTAATAACTCACGATAATATATTAATTTAATAATGATTCATATTTATTACCATGTAGTGTTATTTACCTATATACCACTATTTTTTGCTACTAGCATTAGTGGGCGGTACATACATACATACACACGTGTTAAAGTATTTTTTTAAATGAAATTATTTCTTTCACACTATAAAATTTACACTTCGCTTCAAGTTACTGTTTTTTTTTCTAATATCCTCATGGGAAAAAAAACCATGAACCCACTTGTGGTTAAGCATGGTAATGGATGACAACAACCATCAAATCATCATGCCGCATGCGCAGCATATACACATCATGGATCTGACATGACCAAGTTGACTGAGTTTGGAGCTTCAATTTTACGAGATCCCCACTTATCTCAATGGACCCATTAAGAAGCCCAATATACTTTTCCCCTTCATAACAAAGTGAGCAAGTGAAACCTTTTCACACACAAATTTTGTAAAAAAAAAGGTTGCATGTTTTAGAATTTGTAATAAAGATTTCCACATACATTACGGTTAATCCACAGACATTAGCCTCCAAACAAGGAAATATAATAATTGTTTAATTATAAAATCTTATTGTAACTAAATAATACCCTTATTTGTTCAGACTACAATTTTCAGCGGATATAGACCAATTCTAGAGCTGAGACAAGACTGGAACCATCTCGGCTCGTGGTCTGCACCATGCGACCAGTGGCTCGGCCTTGATCATAGCCACATTGAACAACGGCCTCATGTCGACGACCTCGCCTATCTTCTCCCACTCGAAGCACTGAACCATGGCTCCAACCGTGAGGGCAACCGTCCTCGTACCCATCCCAGCCCCCGGGCACGCCCTCCTCCCGACCCCAAATGGCAAGAACCGGAACCCATCTCTATCCCCGATAAAACCCTCGAATCTCTCGGGCTTGAAAGCCTCTGCTTCGTCCCAAAGCTTCCCGTCTCTATGGACCGCCAATGCGTTCACCAGAACCATAGTGTTGGCCGGAATCTCGTAGCCGTCGAGGCTGAATTTCTTGGAGGAATAGTGCGGAAGCAAGAGCGGAGCTGCAGGGTATAGTCTAAGGGTTTCGTAGATAACGCAACGAAGGTAAGGTAGGTTCTGGAGATCCGAGTCTCGGATTAAGGCGTCGTGTTTAACGTTGGCTTCGATCTCGGCTCGAAGCCTCTCGAGCTTATCAGGGTGGTTCAGAAGAACCGACATTGCCCATTCCATCGTCCCTGGCGAGGTATCCGTCCCCGCATTGAACATTAGCTTCAACATAGAAACTTAAACATCAATCACAAAAGGGTATTTGCTTAACGCCGACAGAACCAAACAAGAATCTCACATTTGCTATGTCCTTACCACAATGATCCCTTTGATGACATCGTCGGGATAAAGCTCGGGATCTGATTCTTGAAGGGACAAGAACTTCTCCACAACTGATGACGCAATCTCTGTCTGGTCGTTTGATCTGTTGCTCTTACTACGGACCTCGTCAACGAGATTCTGCAGATACTCATCTCTCATCCTCTGCATCTGAATCACTCTCCTCTCGATGCCCTTATACCCAATCCTCCTCAAGACCGGGAGAAAATCGCAATCGTTCATCGACATGCTCGAGAAGAATCTCGCCTTGAAATCGTCCAAGAACCTCGTTTCCGATTCTGGGTCGACCTCCGATTTCTTCAGTTCGACCCCTCGCTTCCCAGCTACGATCCTCAGCATCACATGAGCAGTGAAAAGCGTGAACAGATGCTTCAAATCCACTTTCCGAGAACCATAATCATCACCGTCACTGCTACATAATCTGAAGAGCTTCGAGCACAGATTCACGACTTCTTCGTTCCGTACGAAAGCGTTCTTCTGGAGACTGGCGGAGGAAAAAGCTTCGAGCGTCGAGAGACGGCGGAGATTCCGCCATAGATCTCCGTACGGAGCGAAACCGAAGTTCTTGTAGTCGTAGCTGAAGTGGTCGGAAGTGATGGTTCTGGGTCTGTTCGCGACGGTTATGTCGTGGTCGGTGAAGCACTCTTCAATGGCTTCCGGAGAAGAGAGAACCAAAACGGGACGACATCCGAACTTCAAGAAGAGGAACGGGCCGTAGTCGAGGGATAGATCGTGCAGAGCTTGCGGTAAGGGCTTGTTCTTGATGAGGTGGAGATGATGCTGGCTCATTCATTTGGATCGTGGAAGAGGGATCGGACCTGGGGGTAATTTACGATTTTGCCACGCTAGGGTTTTGGTGATGAAGACAACAGTCGTGATGAAGAAGATGACGAGGAAGACGAACCAGAGATTCTCCATTTATTTTCTAAAACATCATCGAGGGATACCATGTCACGACAACACAAAAGTATATAGATTTGTTATGATTGTTGATAAGATACTGTTTTTTTTCCTGTAATCGAATTTCCCATTTCATTGTTTTAGGTCATTATTTATTACTCTCTCCGTGTTTTTTTAACACGTATAATAATAACAAAAAAGTACAATTTTAAAAAATATCTAAACTTTTCAAAAAAAAAATTAAAAAAAAATCTAAATTCTGCTTTATGTAATAAAATCTGAAGTTATTTTTGTATGTTAGAAAAAAATTAAACTTTATAAAATTTGTTATTTTTAAATGTAATTATATAATTTATG